ACGTCAGTACGGCACTTACTGGGCTCCCAACAGACCAGTGCTCTATTGCTGCCTTGCCCAGTGGCGAGCTGGCTGTGGGCGCTAAGGGCTCCAGGCTAACGATTATCCGAGGGGCCCAGCTGGGGCCCAGCAGCCCCACATCAGGCGGCATCAAGGCTAGCCACTCAGCGCCTAGGCAAAGGCCGTCTGCCGCCCTCTCGAAGCTGCACCGGACACTCCTGCTGTGTGCAGCAGGGGCGGATGTAAACCCAGCCACCGTCAATATTCACACGTGTGATGGCACTGTTTTCGTGGCATACCGTTCGGCCCTTGTGAGTCACAGTCAGTACTTCGAGAAGCTGCTGGTGCCGGGAGGCGGCTTTGCAGACAGTGGTGCTGAGGATGTTAAGTTGCCCGATGCCGACCCGGCTGCATTCCAGTGGCTGCTGGCCTACATGTACACGGGGGAGCTGTACATGCCAGATGAGCTGCTACGGACTGCCGTACTGCTCGCGGATCGGCTTTTGATGCCACAAGATTGTATGGGGCAGCTGCAGAAGTGGCTGCTGGCGAAGGTGACCCCCGGATCAGTGCTTTCGGATCTTCTCTGGGCGGAGCAGCACGGCATGACGTCACTGCTGCCACAGCTCAAGCTGCGGCTGCTGTGGCAGAGGAAGAGCGTGGTGTTGGGGGAAGAAGATCTGCGACAGCTGATAGTCCGCTGTCCATGCCTGGTGGCTGACCTGATTCGGGAGCTGGTTGTGATGCCCTGACATGCTTTGGCATGATGGACAGCGAGGTAGGATTAGCCGGCACAGCATCCTCATACCATAAGATCGCACAGGCGCATATACAGCATGCTATGCGGACTTCTGCTTGGTGTGTGTGTGTGTGTCTGGGAAGGCGAACACCGGGGGAGGCGAACGTCCACAACGCCTAGGGGTCACTGTTGGGGGAAGGAGATCTGCGACAGCTGGTAGTCCGCTGTCCATGCCTGGTGGCTGACCTGATTCGGGAGCCGGTCGCGTTCAGGGACAGTGTATCTTGTCTATGGCGGTTAGGACTATATCTTACACGCGCGATATACAGGGCGATGGTTGAAGTAGAACGGATGCTGACAGGCAGGGTTGTTCGGCTGCCTTGAGGCGGCTTGGGAAGTTCACGGCATTGAGTACAGAGGCGTAGTACTATATTGAACCAGCATGAAAAAGGTATGCCCTGCATTGGGGCGAAGACGACGAACCACAGGCGACTCGTGAAGCTGATACCTGAGACGGGAGTGTGAAAGGGAGGGTGAAGGAAATCATATACAAGGAACACAGGACGTCTTTGGTGTGTGTTAGTGTGTATGTATGTGTGTGTGCGTAAGTGCGGACTTGCGTAGTTGTGTATGCCTTTCCTTGACTTTGGGTTCGTGTCACTCTTTGCAACTGAAATCTGGCGTCTGAAGTTCCCCAATTTGCCCGCCACTCCGCTCCTGTCGAGAATTCAACTGGATCCACATTGCCGCCCTCCCGCCCACAACCACCTGGCTTGTCGGCACTGGCAACCAGCTCCGCTGTCTCGCCCTTGCCGGTGTTGGTGTCGGGTCCTGGGAGCCCCCATTTCCTCAGTACCTACCTTGGCGTTTTGAGAACTCTTAAATAATGCGGTACTGCCTTGCGTGTGTGTGTTGGGGGTGCGTTACCCCATACCCGTAAAACTACCCATACAAGCCGAAGGCCCAAAGGCAATACTACAACGCCTAAATGCCACGGAGAAAAGGAAACACCGCACATCAGCCCAGACTAGCGTCCAAAGGGGGTAACTGAGTTTTGGTGAGCCCACATACGCTCCAACATCCTGGCCAGACGTGCGGGTTCCCAAGGCATGGCCTCCAACATGCTCTGTTGATGATCGAATCACTCTTCAGCACGAATATCATTATAGGCTGGGCATTCTAAGGACAGGTGTTTTTCATCCTCGATTCGGCTATTAGTACAACGACAGCGGCAAAGCCGCTGCCCCCTGGGGACATGGTACTTGCCTCTTCGTGCTCTGTTTGCCTCCAGGGCCCAGCAACATAAACGAAACTGCATTAGCTTACGAAGTGCTAAACGAGGAATGAAAACCTTAGCATGTGTTGGCCACATGACGGCTGCGTGTTGTGTTGTGGTGTGGTGTGGTGTGTTGTGGTGTATTGTGTTGTGGTGTGGTGTGTTGTGGTGTGGTGTGTGCCTGTATGACAATCTTCTTGTGAGTCCTCCTTGTTGTACCCTGGCCACCACCACTACTGGACGAGGCGGCTCATCCGGCGGCTGGTGGAGGAGTGCGCACGCATCA